GCGTTTGGCAAAGAAGTTTATACCAAAATACTGTTGATTTATCTGCCTGAATCTCTAAGTGGAGCTGTTGCATCTCTGCAAACTGAGATGTCACAGATGGTATGACCTATTTGCCTGAATTACATTTTAGTGTCGCGGTTGGATAGGAGCAGGAAATATTTCCCGTCAACTGAAAGACACGAGAGAGCATTCAGCCCCAGGCGAAAAATGGAAACTCGTCACTCTCTCCTCCCACAAAAGCAGACGACATTTAGGTCCAAGAAGGGTGCAGTTTAATGACATCGCATCACGCATTTTCTGGGTTTTCTGAAGACTTCAAACGGCGAACATCTCACTGCCATTTGGGACTGACAGTGTGCTAAGTTGCCTGGTGCGGCTTTAAATAGAAGGCAGTAATGAGTGCCTCTTTTAAAATATGCATTAGAGTCCTATTTAATCTTGGCCTTTCACATCGCAGAAACCAGAGGTGAATTATTCTGAACTTTGGTTGACTCGGGCACAAATGGATTTCTCTTGGATGAGCTTGGCCCATGGTAAATGAGCCAACAATTGTCTTTTGATATATTGTTGGTTGTGGGCCAGTTCAGCTAAGAAAAAAGGAAAGAAAGACAATAGTGTTAAATATATATCCATTGCGAGATGAGCTGCCAAGAAGCAGCTTTTTTCAAAATATAAATTAAGCTTCCGAGGCTTTAGGGGAGATGCCCTGGTTTTCATTGTAGGGCTTTATGGTTTTGTTATTGTTTTAAATGTAGCGCAAGGTCTGCTTTTACATCGTACTGAGGAATATCTGGGATAAAACAGATGGATGAATGTAGTATATTCAGTGTTGAAACTTTAATTTGATAATTCTTTTTTCCCTCTGCAGCAGAGACAAAAAGCAAATATGAAATGTTAATGTTAATGTTTCTCATTTATTTTTGATTTGTTACAGAAAGGGAATCAAGCTTGTTTTTCATATCCGTGTTTGTTTCCCCACATGGGTGTCAACATCTCTGATTGATTTAAAGTGACTAAAGCAACTCCTCTGACTGCAACAAGAAGTCTGATTGTATAGAAGTCTGTGAGAAAATGACTCTACTTCTCTCTTGATTTGTTACCTCAGTAAACATTGTAATCATGAGTTTATGGTCTCAATCACGAGATTCAAGTCTTCTTCAATACAGCATGATGTTCATTTAGTAAATTATGGTTTTCATTTAGAGTAAAATGGACCATAAAGCAGGGTATGCTTTAGGGCGTGGCTACCTTGGGATTGACAGGTCGCTACCACAGCGTTGTCTGGTCTGGAAGTCTTAGAGTTTCTGTTCTACAACTTTAACCCCTTCACAGTGTGTTTTCAGTTCATGGAAGTTAATGGTAACTTTGTAAATTGTAAAGTTGTTTGATTGTGCTTAACTCCACCCTATGTCCACAAAAACAAGATGGCGACGAACTCCAAAGCTTCAAAACCGTCCACTTCTTATATACAGACTAGGATTTTATACACATTCACCCCTCAGCATTTCTGAACAGAACTCTGCAGTGAGGATTGCATTTCCTTGGCTATCGTCCTCGCACCGTCGGAGGCCCATTTGACCAAAGGCTGTTATTTGGTGCAGGACATTGTCCAATGTGCCATATGCAAAACAACACAAAGCACATGCTTTTGCTTGCTGCCTGACAGGCCAGATCTTATTACATCTGAATGTTCTGTGCACAGCTCCGTGCCGCGGCCTTGGGAGTCTCTTGCTATCAGCGCAGGGCCAGACGGTACGGCAGCTGTACCGTCTGGCCCTTATGTCCCCCTTGATCCAAATCAGCTCACCTGGTGTGAATCAAACCACTCTTTTTATTTTATATATATATATATATATATATATATATATATACTTTGTTTGTCCCATTGTTTTTCCTTTCAGAAATAGGGCTCCTCTCTCAAGGCCGGCGTGTAGCCTCAGGTGTGTTAGAGCATGACTGTCCCCCCCCGGTCACTCTTTCGTCAGTATTGGAACAAATCGGCACAAGAAGCGACAACGCCAGCCGGCCTGTAAACCCCGCAGCACACCTACAAATCTCCCTTAAACGCCGCCTTCCTCTCCCCCTCGCCGGTACTGCATCTCCACTACTTTACATTATCTTTTTTTTTTTCCTCCCTCCTCGGTTTCTGCACCACTGGCTCTCATAACTCTCACAGAAATCTCCCCTCCTAATGCCTCTCTCATGCATGTGGCTCTGCTCCTCTATGGCTTTGCCGCACAGTGGTGTAGTCTGTAATTACAGCTCTAGTGTGCTTAGCCGAGGACTCCTCCAGTCCTTGAGTGAAAGGGGTCCCCGCGGGCGCCCCCGGCCCCTTCACGGAGGGGGGATTTGGGTTCTGTGGGTGTGTAATTACGCCTATTCCTCTGGTTTCCATTTGCATGAGCCGCTGTTTATTTGGTTCAGTCTGAGTGGGGAGCGTCGGACTCGAAGGAGGAAGAGCAGAGCGAGGGAGGGAGGGGCTGCAGCTTTTCACACAGCCAGTCCCTGCCAGTATTGTTTTAGCAGTCAAGCGGGTGAGGTCTGGCCAGGTACATATTTATGAGTTTTTACAGCCCTCCCGCACAACCCCCCACATCGCTCCAACTTAAGATTAAACTTTAACTGGTGTTGTCACACAGTAAATTGTGTTTGCTTTTTCAAAAAAAAAAAAAAAATCATACTTGAGCCGCCACAACTGGTAATCTAAGCTGTGATAAAATGGAGTAAAGTATTGCCCCCGAGGTGCACAAGGACACAGGTGTTTCTCAAGGTGCAGATGACAAGGTTGTCAGTCCTCCCTGTCAAACCGTATTAGCAAATCAATCTGTCATCGTCAAACTCCCCCAAGTTTAAATCTCCACAGAGAGGGCCCGGCTGATGCGGTCAGAAGGAAATGAAAGATGATGTGCACTCAGTAACTTCAAAAGGTTGTCACTTAGTTTTTTCTTATTCTATATTATTATATTATATGATTCGATGTCGGCAGCGGAGGCTGTACTCGAGCGAAGGGACGCAACAATGGATAGAAATTGCCTTTCTCTCGTGATGCGCTGCTTCTCCAGGCGCGAGCCGTTCAACCCGCCCCGCCGTGAAAAGATGGAAAGAAAATACATTGTTCGTCTTAATGGTCTTCCAGCCAGAGTCTGAGCCAAATGTTTCCTCACATCGCACGTGCATCGGGCCTCTGTGTCCTTCGGCTGACTACCTACAGTTTTTATAAGAGGAGCAGCCGCTGCTTGGACAGTTTGACAGCCTGCACAAACAGCTCCCCCTCCACTCTGCTGCGGATTCATGTACAGCTGAAGATAGACTACATCAGATATTGTATTCAGTGGGTGTATACATAAACCGATCCCTCTCTCACATATTCGTCCACATTTAAAAGCCCCCTGTGGAAGCTTTATCTCCGAACGCAGCTATTATCCGTCATTGTGATGCGGTTACTCAGCGCTAAGGAGCCGCACCGTTTGTGTGGCTTGTGTGTGCGGGGCCCCCGGTCCTCCACTTTAAGGCAACAACATATTTCCTCTCTATTTTATGACTTCATTCACCAGTGGCTTTATGAGTCCAGCGTGATTAACGGAGGGGTTTCAGTGTTTCTTCCTGTGGGTCTTCGTCCATCCATGGGAGATAATTATAGCTGCGGCTGGTTGTAAATAGGAAGCCCAACCAGGGGGTTGTCGGACCAGGAAACGGGACATCTCCAGACTTCACCTGGAAAAGGAACATAAATTAGAGCCTGAGATAACAAAGATGTGTGGAAGACAACAGTATGCTGCAGCCCTGCGGCACTTCAGGGACACGTCTGTTTCAGGCCCCAGACCAGGTGTGAGTGAAAGTTGTTTTCTTTCGAGACTCACATTGAAGGAACAAAGAATGACAAGAGAAGAAAAGGGAGACGCAAAAGTGATTTCCAATTTGGATTCATCTTTTTTTTTTTTGTGATTTATCAATTTAATTATTTCCATAAAAGAAAAGCAAAACCCAAAGATATTTAGTGCACCATGATACAAAACAGAAAAAAAAAAAAACGGCAAATGAAGTTGCAAAGTTTTGCCATATTTGTACAACAAAGGACTTGAGTGATGACTTGATCAATAAAAAGTGTTGCCAGTTACTTTTCTCCGGCAATCACTTAATCGTTGGTGCACCAGATAAAAGCAGGCCGGCCGAAAGGGACAGCCGATGCCAGGATGTTGACACACGATGCATCAAGTAAAGAGCCAGGGGGCACGAGAAAGAGGGGAGGTTTACACTTGAGTTTAGTAAGAGGTCAGCTTATGCATGAAAGAAGAAACCACAGGCCAGTTTACAGATGACCGTCCTTGCTAATTGACCTTTTATTTACATTTTTTTTTCACCATCAAACTCCCCGCAGACTTAGACAGCAGGGGAGAGGACCGTAATTGCTGTTTTTTTTTTTTTTATATAGATAATGCGTGTGTTCCCATTGTTTGTGGTGCTTACACAGGACTCCACATTGTGTATTTTAATAGGAGCTCCAGGCAATCATTGAAGTATTTGTGTGTAAAAAGTAATTAAAATTACAATGGGCCAGCCAGTGTGTTGCTGGGTAGGTGGAGGGGGGGGAGGGAGCAGCAGACGATGACTTGGCTCCACCTCACTGCCCTTGTGCTCATTCAGTAGTGATGCATTGGTCCTCGCTCGGCCCTTCAGAAGCAGTACCCTCGTGGACAAAGACAGGGTCGTGTAGATGTGCCCATTTTGTTAATATCTTGCCCAGCTTTTACACGCTAACACCATGTAGAGACTCTTGACACCGATGTATGGGGAGCAGACGTCGCCTCCGCGGCATTTGGCGAGTGCGTGGACTGTGAGTGTTGTGCGTGCCAGTACTACCTAGGAGGCTGAATCGACTCTTTGACTCTCAGTGTATGTACTTGCTATTGACTGGAGTGCTTTGCTTGGCCTTGGACTCATTTTAATCGTAATTACATGTTTTTTTTTTTTTCTTCTTCTCCTCTGTTTGTTACTTCTAGCTGGCAACGGGCAGATGGTGCAGATGGACTCCAGCAAGTCCGGCTTTGTGGGCTCACGAGCGGAGCTGCGCTGCATCTTCATCAACAGCAACCCGCCGGTTAAGATCTCCCAAGTCACCTGGCAGAAGCTCCTCAACGGCACCAAGCAGAACGTGGCCATAGCCAACCCGGCCCTCGGCGTGTCCGTCCTGCCGCCCTTCAAGGAGCGCGTGAGCTTCAAGCAGCAGGCGGTCCGCCTTCGCACACCCTCGCTGGAGGACACCACCATCGTGTTCTCCAGCCTGCAGCTGTCTGACGAGGCTGCCTACATCTGCGAGTACACCACGTTTCCCGCGGGAAACCGTGAGAACATGGTCAACCTCACTGTATTTGGTAAGAACTTAGTGAAATAGTGAAATGTTAGAATTTTGGAGATTATCAATCTTTTTTTTTTTTTTTTTTTCAGATGAAATCGGCAACCGCTGTAATTTATAAAGTAAAACTGACAAAAAAAAACAGAGCCCCCTTATATCTAAGAAATCTAATCTAAGCTCTTTTTGGTAATATGTTTTCTTCTTTATCTAGATCGGATTTGTCTCCACAGACGCAATATATTTAGAATGTATTTTTGGCCCAAATATAAATGTCTGCTTTGTCAAATCGGGAAGTTACAAACTCTAAAGGCTTTCCAAGTTGTTTCGTTGATGAGATTTATGGTCCCAAAAATGTGGCTTGCCTGTCAAAAGCATGTATCATCAGCTCCCTCCGGCATTTTATTGCTGGCCTGAAGAGAAGTCACAGGGACTTTAAACCTGTTACCTAAATTTGGTTTCTCTTCGACCTCGAGGCAGCAAAAAAGTGAACTTTTTTTTTTCTGAATCAGATAACACGGTAAAACTGACATCTTCATTTTTAGCAAAAGGCCAAACGAAAGCCCTTTTACAGCTCAATGTTACATCGCCACAGGCTTCCTGGTTAAGTAGGTCGAATGCCGTTGGAACACCTCAGACCAGGTGCTGTTCCTCTGTTTGCTAAAGCCGCTGCTACAATCCTGTTGTTTACCATTAAACCTCCCGGTCCTGTGATTGGGCGAACAGCACCGTCAACCATCACCATCACCATCACGGTTGAGTCATTCCATTGAGGATCCTGTTGTGTATACAATGTGCAGTGTTGAGGGGTGACGTGTCGTCTAACACCACTCCCAGATTGGCCCATGTGGTTTAAAAAAATAAAAATAGGAAACCGCTCAGAGAACAGTCAATAAAAATGGCAGGTGAGACGGAAATCAATAAGGCCACTTCAGAGTGTGTAATTTGGCTTGAATAATGTCATCTTGTGGGGAGGGGAAAAGGAGTGCCTGAGACACAGTTTATTTTGGACGAGAGGCAGCTTTGAAAAGGTTGCATGCTCACTCTGATTAGACATCTAATTAGAAATTAAGTGCTGGTGTGTTTTCCATTAAGTCCCAGTAAGACAAAAAAGCACTTGGCTTAAGTAGTCCCTGTTGCCAGGGCTTTCTTGTCAGCTCTGAGACCCCATTTTGTGTCACCGAGCCTCCCATGTCTTTTTCTAAGGCTTCCGCCGGCTCAGTGAATGCTTGGAACCTGCGTGCAGATAACCACGCGGCGGCGTTTCAAAGAGGCCTCTTCACGGCCTATCTCTTTCAGCTGTGCATTCGCTCAAGCCTGCCTTTTGATGTGCTGGAAGTAGATGGCTAATTGGCAACTCACAAAGGATTCAAATTGGATGACATTTGGGTAGGCAAGTGGGTTGTACATCGGTGAGAGCTTTGACAGCGGCTTTGACTTTAAGGAAGGAAAGAAGCAGAACTTTGTATGGTTTGAGGTAGAACCCTGTTTTCATCTCATCCCCCTTAGTTTTATTTACCTCGAATATCTGACTAAAGGTGAAATAGATGCTATAATCTGAGGGAAACTGAAAGAAAATACACAATATATCTGTTTAATGAGCTTTAATTACATTTCAAGTAACTTGATTTGCTTCGTCCTCTCCCCTCCACAGCTCGGCCTATGACTCGTATGACCTTGACAACGCCCACGATTGTGGCCAGGGCCTCGAAACGCAAGATGACCGTTGCCACTTGCGTGTCGGCCAACGGGAAGCCCCCTAGCGTGATCAAATGGGAAACCAGGTTGAAGGGCGAAGCCACTTTCCAGGATACGCGCAACCAAAACGGGACGGTGACGGTACGGAGCAACTACGTGGTGGTGCCGAGCCGCGAGACCCACAAGCAGAAGCTCACGTGCATCGTGACGTACCAGGGGGAAAAGATCAAAGAAAGCGTGGTGCTCAACGTGCAGTGTAAGAATCTGCTCTCTTAAATAAAGGAGACACAATATGATATCTACGCTTTTGCAAATACATTTGGGTATTTAGAGTGCCTACTAACCCAAAAACTGTTAAATACGACAACACAGTCAGTTTTCTGGGGGGCTACCTACATCAGAAAACAATATACAGTATTTTTCTCACAAGCCAATCAGAGCAGACAAGCGCTAAAACAGAGTGTTTCAAACAGGGTGAATACAAGTATATTCAGACAGACAGTATGAGAAAAATAAATGTTTTTTGAACATTGAGTTATGTAAACATGTTCTGGTATAAACCCAAAATACAAGTATGAACCTGAAAACTAGCATTATATGAAAAAAAAGTTTGTTTCCTGCTTTTAGAGTAAACAGATCACCACAGTTTACAGTAAACAAAGGTCCTCTGGCGAACACAGCTTTTCCAGTTGAACAGAGTTAAGAGCAAAAAAACAAATGAGCTGCTGAGTACGCACCAGACTCCCAAATAAGAAAATGTTAAAAAAAAAAAAATAAATGTTTTCCTGATTTTTCAATTTTTTTGGAATAATTCACATCTTTAAAGCATATCTTTAAAAAACAACAACATTGAAACATAACCTCTGTACTGTACTGAAAGTATGTAGGAGTTCACTGCTTTTTTGTTCGATTGAATTCTCCCATCCACTCGTATTCCAGGTGTGTGTAGATTAGAATTGTATACTTGACTCAACAGTATTTACCCCTGACTACAGTAATGTAAAAACAGTACTTAAAGTGTTAAAAGTGTGGGGAAATGGTTGAAAAGTTTTTAGCAATAGTGAAGTGATTCGGGAGTGTTTTCTGATGATGTCGTGAAGCGATGAACTGACTCCGGTGTGCCTCCCTTGCAGACGAACCTGATGTGAAGATCGAGGGCTTTGATGGAAACTGGTACCTGAACCGTCCCAATGTTCAGCTGACCTGCAGGGCTGATGCCAACCCCCCTGTCACCATCTACCAGTGGAAACTGTGAGTCTGACTGAGCCCGAACAAAACCCATTGCAACATGTTGTTTCTCTCACCTTAGGTTCCTGACTGGAACAAAAAAGAAAGTGGAGGAATTACTGAAGCTATTTTACAGAACGGCCTTGTTCAATGCAGTCTGCACTTTTCCAACATTTGTTTCAAGTCATATATATATACAAGAAAGTAATCTGCAAAGATAAAAACACACCAACTCCCTTCATCCACTCCAGAAAAGTGTCTCAGTTTATTTGTTTGTTTATGAAACGTGTAATGAAGATGAGACCTGGGAGGGGTGAAGCTGAACGCTGGAGTAGGAGCCGAGGATTAGGCCGGCATACCGCGGGGCTGACATCACTGTTTTCTTGCCTCCGAGACTCTCGCTGCAAATACATGAGCAAGAAGAGATGCAAACATGTTTCTAAGGCCTCGGGGGGAATCGCCAAATGACCCCGAGTTTGATCTGCTCTGAGTAATTGCATGAAAGGTTGGTCTTGTGGAAATGATGTGGTTTGCATACAAGCACTGAGACAGCTAGAATGCAACCAGAGCGTTTGCTGTAATTTACACTGATCGAACTTGGATGCAAAATAGAATTTTAGAAAAACAGCAAAAAGTCTGTTCAGCTCTCTGAATACAAAGCAACTTTTGTGAGCGTATCACTGTTCTAAATGAAAGTATTATGTGGTAAAATTGAGAGATAAATGTGGCAATTTGTCGTGTAATTGCTCGGTGAAGGCGGGGTTGAGGAATATGTCATTGGACTTGAGTGGATGTGGATTAATAGACCATTGTGTCCTCATTGTATCTACTCTACGGGACACTGTTGGATTTTAATGAGGCACGGGGAGGTTTTTTTTTTTCTTGTGCATAGATTTATCTCTGAGCGCAGAAACACTGACACACACACACACACACACACACACACAGAACAGCAAAATAAAAAAAGACAAGATTTGACCTGCTTGCTTTTGTTCCCTCTTTTTTTTTTTTTTTTTATCAGAGGCAAAGGGAGATTTAGGGAGATAGCGGAAGATAGGGAGAGAAGAGGAGGAGGGTAAAGAGATGTGATCTAGAAAGACGAGGGCACTGTGCTGACAGATAGGAGCGGACGGCCATTGCTGCACTGAAAATGAGATGCCAAATCTGTTGTGAAGGTTCCCCTGGGCTCCACTGTGGAGGTCAGCACAAGGCTGTGACGGAAGGATCCGGAACAGGCCGGCAGGATTGCGTCACACTCAACCACCTACACACACACACCTACACACACACGAGAGGTGCAGCCAAATCCAATGAATACGAATGCCTCCAATACAGATCCACATTATTCCCATAGAGAATATAGTGTATAGTATCCATCTATTTCAATGGGATCATAAGTTTGTATCTTTTTTTTTTTTCTTTTTCTAATTCACTTGGCTTATTGTATAATATTGTATTATCTGCATTCACTTTTCACACTTTCTTGTGTGTGTTCCCCAGCATGGTGTGGAGTGTGCAGAAAGTCTTGGCATACACTACTACAATTCTTTAAAAAAGAGAATCTGTGCATCTTTGATTTTTATTTTTTTTTCCTAGAGCACAAAGCCAGAGCGATTTCTCAAAATGGGTTAATGGGAGCTGCATTCAAGGACGCAGTTTGAACTTCATTGTTTGTTTTTGAAATGTTTGTTTGTAGGGCATGCTCATTTGCAGAGTCTGTTTTAAGTGCGTACCGCAGTCTTCAGTGGGCACAGGAATACTAAGTGGGGGAAGGGAGGGCCAAAGAGTTGTTTATGATCACAAATAACTCAATTACTTACGTGCTGAGATTTCAGATGAAATATTATTTTTTTCTCTTTCCCTGAAAAGCAACATTGGAGCTCAGACATCCTCTCCCTCCACGCTGCGTCGTCAGTTGCTCAGAGATGGCGAGGTTGTGTAACATAAGAAAGCGGTGTTGTCATTGCTGCACTTTGCAGCGGGATCGCCTCAAATGCCACGCTAATTAGCTAGCTCACTTATCTCTATCTGGAAAATGTGATTCTACTATTAACGTCGATTAAAGGCCAACGTAAGGAACTGTTGGTTCACTTCACCAGTAGCTGTGCGTAAGACTCACGGATTGCCGGATGCCCCTTTTAAATTATATTTGAGTCAGGTTTATTGCCCCTTTTACTTAACATAAGCAGTTAGTAAATATTGTCTGCGGCGCCTCAAAGACAATGAAAGCTTGCATTAAGCATTAAACAGGAAATTAAGGACACTTTCAGGCCAACTGAACAGAAGGCTGATGGATTGAAGACGCCATCCTTTCATGCTACTTGTATGTTAGTTTGAAGCACAGAAACCACTCTGTTTCTTACTTTAATGAATATTGTAATCTCTTCTAATCCTTTGCCCGTTGCCAATGTGAATTGTCTTATTAGACCTGATAACGAATAACATTGATATTTCAAATTCAGGCCTTTAAGCACCCACAGTTTTTTTTTTTTTTTTTTTTTTTTTTTTTTTTTCTGCATTCAAGTTTAAAGCCGCCGACACACGGTTGTGCACTTTACAGTGGGACGGCGGGTTGACGGACATAGTGTCCTTGTTTCCCCGCCTCCCGTCCCCTCCACGCACACGGGGCGGGGCGGCCAGTCATCAAAGAATCTGCATCCCTCTCGAGCTGTTTTTCAGCCTTTCATTTAGCTGCACCTCAGGCTCCACACACACACGCACATTCAGATGTCTCATACAAATGCACTGGATCTGTGGTGAATCACAGCCAGCCTTTCATTTCGGCAGTAAATCAATTGGGCTTTGCAGAACTCAGCATTTGATAGAGGCTCACAAGGTAACTGATTACTGAATCGTGACGTTCTGTATTGAGGGTTGTTTGCAGCTCCATTGCAAAACGCATCGCCAGGGTGGCAGAGGGAAAACAACTCGGCCATATCTCTTTCTATTACTTCTGTTCTGTGCTGCGGACGATCTGTTGCTGAGAGAGAAAAAACAAAAAAACAACTATGCTTTTGACTCTGACTTGTCCTGAAAGTTCGCGCCATAATTTGGATTTAACCACGTATGGATCAGCAGTTTCTAATCGGCAATTCACGAAAAAGATGAATGAACAAATAGCCCGTCGCTGCGTATACTTCCCCCTGTCATCAAGGAGCCTTCTGGAAAGCCTGCTTAGCCCAGCCCAAGTGCTTGGCGTAAGGCCGCTGTTGGCATGAGACCTCACTTCGTCATCTCCCCTCAGAGTCGTTTTGTTTTTCTCTGGCTGCAATAAATGGAGCATCACATTGTTTTTAATGTTCCCACACACCAGCGGTTCTCAAAGTGTCTCTCCGACGTGGAGAGCAGGCCCGGGAGTGAAGGAAGGGAGGCCTTTGCAGCATCTTTATTGTTCAAAGAACCCAATGTCACCCCGCGCACACAGTAGCAGCAGCTCACCGTGATCACACCGGAGCGCCGCTCAATACCATCACAGTCGCGTTTGTAACTCTACTTAAATCCATTCAGAGCAGCCGATGAAGCTGCTCGAAGGGGAAGTCGACAGGAAACATCTAATTGTCGCGAAATTTGATACCTGCACCACAGCCTCCGGGCTCCATGACATGCGCGGACGGGTGCTCGTGCTCTGCGCCCTCAGAAGTGTGCTGACCCGATCAAAGGACACAAGTCTGAGCGCGCCGTGTAGAGATACAGCGGACCATGAAGACAAACACCTCGGGCGGGAGAGAGACTGGGCTCCAGTTCTCATTGACAGCTCGGCATTTTTCGGTGGATTCTGCATTTATCGCTTGATCAGCTGCCTCTGCTGACGGCTCCCCCGAGCTTTGAGTCCAGCCGTGTGAGCTGTGCTGTGCCGTGGGTAGAGGAAAGAAGCCCCCCAACCCCCTCCTCCCTCCATCCCTCCCTCCTCCTACAACTGTCTGTTTTGTATCCCACATGCCAAAAAGAAAAAGGCCTGTGTCCTCAGGCATCAACTATGTCTTACCTGTTTGGACCTGCTGGGATTCCCTGTCCTCACAATTTTGTTTGGACTTGATGGATGATGGCTGAAATAAAGCACTGTCAAATATTTCTGGTATTTATCTCAGCCTCACACACTCGCATCCAGGTTTGTTTGGCACTAGAGACTCTATTTTTCATGCGCCTTGAATTGCTTTGCCGCTCCTGGGAGAGGGATTTCATTTATTATTTTATTTTCCTACCGTGGTCTATTGTAATTCTGCCTTTTTTTATGGTGTCTGCATTATTGCCTCTCTCTCTCTCTCTCTCTGTCTGTCTCTCTCTCTTTTACCACAGCTTGAACGGCTCCCTGCCCAGCAGCAATGTGGAGATCAAGAACAACACCCTGTTCTTCAAGGCGGCAGTGACCTACGACCTGGCCGGCACGTACGTCTGCGACGCGACCAACGGCATCGGGACTCGCACCGGCAGCGTGGACGTCAACATCACAGGTAGTTCGATGAAGCCGTTCGCTTCCGTTCTCTTGTCTCTTCCGTAACTCTGGCATGGCTTGCATCAATACAGTACCCCCTCTTAAAAAACAACAACTTTTGAACACAAAAATCCGCACATGCGTGATTGCGGCACATTGCGTCTGTTTTCGTGACGCTGTTCTTCCCAACTGCGCTGGCTCTGTGGCTCCCTGCTGCGAATGTGTGGCAGGTTAGATGAACCCCCCCCCCCAAAAAAAAAAGCCTCTGTGTTTGTGTATCCGAGCTCCACACACACGCTGTGAGAACACAACAGCCGCCCACTTCCACCCTGCCCTGTTATGCACCCAGGCGCATGTGTGGGAGTGACACAAAGCAAGTCTATTATTGGTGCCTAAGATAACATCAAGGAAATAGGCGGGGGGGCTAGTTTGAGGTGAGGGTACTGTATTGGTCATAGTTAGCTCGCATCTCTCCAAACGGCCCCTGTGCCTCTTCTTTGTAGCCGAGTTCATTCTATGTGTCTCTTCTGTCTTCTGGGGGGGGGGGGACAAAATGCTGAACAAAACTGAATCAGTTCCCTTTTGCCTGCCTCTTAATCGCTGGCACACACGCACTTCCATAGGAGACGATAGTTTCCACTCAAAGACTTTGCTACAATATATACCAGATCTGAGATTGGCTTTACGTTCTACTATTGTGGGAATCTATTGGTACCAGCTGTGTGTGTGTGTGTGTGTGTGTGTGTGTGTGTGTGTGCGTGTGCGCGTGTGTGTGTGTGGTATTGGGAGTTTTGCTCTGGTCGGACTGGAAATGCTTTATTTTTTTTATTTTATTTTTCCTTTACTCATTGTGCTGCTTGGTTTCTGGGAAGCGGGGGTGTTCTAACTCGCATTGCTTTGCATGTTGACTCATGTTGCGTCTCTGGGAACGCTGCGCTTGGTGTGAAGTGAACAGCTGTGCCTTACAGTGTCATTGCATTTCTTTTTTCCCCCTGTTTCCTCTCTCTCTCTCAGTGTGTTATTCTCCGCTGGTAAAAGGGGAACGCCAGAACAAAGCCGCTGTGTTAGGATGTGATGTAATTACCTGCCTTGTGAGAAGTTGCCTGTCCAGAGTAGGCGAGTTTGTAGTGTGATAATAGAAATCTCAAAGGAGCATGACCAGCCCTTACTTATCAAGCAGGAAAGTGAGGAAGTAATCTAGTGTCAGGAAATCAAGCAGTGCCAGCTTGTATTGAGTAATTGTGTTCCAAAGAGATTGCACTGTTTTGGCATTAAGTACTGTATCCCTTTTGGAAAGGCAAAACAAAGCCACCAAAGTCATTTTCTATTTCTGCTTTTTCATTGATTGCTTAAATTAACAAACCCCATTGCTATTGTCCCCGCAGTCTCTGTTTACTCTCATCATTTGTCCGTATAATTTTATTGAGTCAGTGAGGTGAACAATGCGTGGGTGCAATAATCTGAGCACATTCACTCTCAATTGAGTCTGAATGCAAAATTTGAATCCCAGTCTTTTTTTATCCATTGTTTTCTTTAAGCCATGCAAAGGTTTGCAGGTTGTTCTGCAGCAGGTTAAAGGATACGTAATGATTTTATTTGAAGCTGTGAAAACAGTCTTGGGTCTCAGCGGGAGGTAGGCTAAACGTTGCCTCCGATCGCTCTGCATGTTTACTGTAATTAACACACTTAGTTATTTCATGTCATTCAAAGACCTAGAATTTTGCAATAAAGAAAAGTGTTCACACTTTCTACTTGACAACTTGATTATCACTTTTCCTTCCGATGAAAGAACTCCATCCTTGATATCTGGAGTTCATGTACCTTCATGCCCACACATACACCGAATATTAAATGTCACAAGGCACTTGGTTGTCTCTTTGTACCCTCTGAAATAAGCTGGCTGGGTGCTGCTCTCTTAAATAAAGGTGCTAGCTAGAACCATACAGGGTTCTTCGGCCTTGTTTCCTGATATCAGCTTTCATAAATCTTCCACCTGGAACATATTCAGAGGGCTCCACTTAGAACCCAACATAAATTATTAGTTATACTATGAGAGAACCCTTCTATGTTGTAATGGTTTCACCCAGAACCTTTCGACCTTCTAAGGGTACCAACAAAAATCCATCCATAGGTTCCTAATGAGAACCCTTTTTATATTCCAAGGGCTTCATAAAGAACACACACAGGGTGTCACAGTCAGTTTCTGGGGGTGGAGATTTTAGGGACTACCCATAACACCCTCACCGCCCTAACCCTGGATTTACTTTAACTTGTGTGCCTTCTGCCATGCGATCCATATCCTTAGGCTTTGAGAGGCTCCTTAAAGGGCCAGGCTGATGTTGTCCAGCGCAACCCACAACACTCATGGTTCCTTACCACAGTTTGTAGGGCAGAGATTTCATGACACAGCCTTTGCCAATTCAGTGGTGCAGTGTATTTCAATTCTGTCCGGCTGTTCAGTTCCATAACACAATGAAATTAGGATGCGTCCTGGTTGTCTAAGCCAAAGGTCCTCAGAGAAGTCTCAAACTAAAATTTGAACTTTCATCAATCAAGGTTCACAATCAGTCTTTGGGGGCGCTTGGGCTTGGAGGACCCATGATATCAACAATCTTTGAAAAACTCTTTCTTCCAAAAAAGGGTTTTTCAGATAAAAGGGGTTCTTTAATAAAGAGTCCTTTAGAAGCAAAGGGTTCTGGGTAGGAGCTCGGCTCTCAAGGAAGAACGCTTTTGGTAACCTTATTTCTGTGTAGCTGCAGGTGGTGTTATGTACTGTTAAATGGCAAAAGTCCAGCTTTTCTGTTGAGGATGCACTCCCAAAGGGTCCCATGCAAGCCTTAAAAGCATGTTGCCAGTTCCCATAGTAACCGTGACAAGTTCAATTGAGAAGAGCCAGCCTCCCTTTCCTGAATCGCCCCACAGAGCCTGAGCTCCAAAATGGCGCCCAGTCAAATTGCAGAAGCTCACAAACCGCTATAGTTGAGTGTCACACATTAGTATGGTTTGGTGCTTTAGGCTGCAGAGAGGAGTTCAGCAGCAGCAGGCAGAAACCGGGGGCAGAGCTGTCCTGCCCTTTGTGTCTCACTCACGTCCAACATGGATACGTTACAGTGGGATCATGCAACGCTTGTGCTCTTTGCTGATGTTGTGAAATGCTAGCCTAGTCCTGTCTTAAGCAGGCCTGTCAGCATATTGTCCTGCACCGCCACGGAACATCATCGAGCTCCGAGGATATGTGCGAGAAGAGGAAGTGTGTCCCTTTGGAAGGCATTTCTGTGAAAGTGCATCAGCTTGTGGTGGACTTGGTTTCAGTTATGAAGACGTGAATAAAAAGACCGTCAGAGGTGAACTTGAGGGTGGGCATGGCTTTTTCCCCCCCCTCTCATTCTTTCAAGTGCTCTGTGCAGCCTTGACATTGGCGTCGCGTAATGACCCAGTGGTAGAGGTAAAGAAATAAGCTGATGCTTCATTAACTTCAAAGAGCATCTTTGTGCCTCCCAACAGCCTCAGACAGGCCCCGGCTGAGACGAGGCAGGTGAGAGAGCCCCGCTGCTGGCTGCTGTTCAAGGCTGCAGCACCGGCCCTCGGTAATGCTAGCTAAGTGTTCTCTGCAGAGAGGGAAGGTGACCAAGGCGACAGCTGCAGCGCGTTTTGTCCACCGGTTTACAGAGCAACCAGAGCTGACCATTTCTGGACTTGTGCTGAACGTGAAATGTTTTTTTTCTTTCCCACGTTGGAGGGCACATTTAAATGGTTTTGGATTGAGAGGCAGTCCGGAGAGCTCTGTGTTTCTAGAGTCAATGACGCTGGCCTTTTCTAGCCAGCAGTAAGCTGCACTCGAGCACTGACAAACCCGCGCTGTTCTATCACTATGAAGACCTAGAATGTATCGGAATGCACTGCTGCTAGTTGCATTATGCATGGGTTTGGTCGTAGCGTGTTTTGTTTTCATTTTGAAGTTCAGCTTTAGATTGACACAGCAATATACACCTGCCAGGGAGACCGACACCGCTTCCCAGTGTCAGGAAGATAAAATATCCGTGACAACTTGTTTGTATCGCAGAAAAAAAAGAAGCTATTTTCTCACACTGGGAAGCAACACTGATGGAGCACTTAAGGAAGGCGCATTTTAATCAAGCCCCTCAGTTTTGCGTGTACAGATTTGTGGGAGCTGCGTAACTGTCACCTCGGCAGATAGCGGGGGCCACGGGGCACCTTGTTTCAATTAGTTTGGGGGATGGTGTTTGCTGCGGAGATGGCAACGACTACGGTAAGTCACATGGGCCGAGACGGCTTTCTCCAAGGACATGTGTTCTGCAGATATGGTGTCGCTTGTCAGAATTGAATGAACCACTCTCCTGTTTTAATCAATCCTCAGTCTCGGAGAAAAAAAAGGAGAGGTGAAAGAGGAAGTCTGAGGGAAAGAATCAGAAAGAGAAGAGAGGGAGAAGGAGGAGGTATCTATGGTGAGAGAGCCTTATGTGATGGCCGTCCTCCTGGCGAACACCTCTCTCACTCACATTCAGTTCAGAAATCTCCTGAGGGAAAGTTGACAAGTCGTCGGATCTGATTAATCAGCCGATTACTAGCGGGCATCGGAGGCCATGTAAAAAAAAAATTAAACGGCCTCGCAATGAAAGTTATTTTTGACGATTCGTTCTCCCTAACCCAGCTTTTAACCGTCAGTCGAAACAGTGGAATACTGCAGCTGAGGAGGCCTCAAAGATCCTCCCCAACTTAAAGGAGCAAAAATCTCTTTCATTAAGATAATCAGCTTTTCCACCATCACGCTCCAAACCAATCGATGCTGCCATCTTAAATGTCTTTCCAGCACGTAATAAGACGTGATGAATGGCTGTTTTGTCAGAATGGCCTTACAATTATGTCGTTATCACCCCTGAGAAAGGACACGTGTGTGTGTGTGTGTGTGTGTGTGTGTGTGCGTGTGCGTGTGTGTGTGCGTGTGTGTGTGTGTGTGTGTGTGTGTGTGTGTGTGTGTGTGTGTGTTTTCTCTCAGAA